GCTTAGATTTTTAAGAATTAAAATGAATGGGATGTTTTATGTGACTGGTCAGCTGTGTTGAACCATGACAAAATGAAAAAATACAACAACTTTAGGTTAGGATGTTTTTTAAACTTTGTGTGTAGTCCTACAGTAACAAAAGTCTGGCAGTAATATTCGTTAATGGATTACCATTTCTCCATTATGTCACTAGTGCTGCCTTTTGAAATTAAGCTTTCACAATTCAAAGAAATGTTTTAAAGCTCTATACACGTACGTTTACTTTTTGGAGCATGGCTTGAACTGAAGTTTCATATTTTTTCTTCTAAAATCCTTGCAATGAATATCGGCCTGTCTTAGTTCTTAGATTACTGTGCTCTAAATCATTGTTAATATTGATTTACCAAATAATCTAGACATCCCTGGTTTCAGAACATAATGTAGAAGTTTTGTTCAGTGATGTTCCACATATGTCCAGTTTAATCTAAATCTGTAATCTTTTCTGAGTTCACATTGGTGTGAAAATGTCCTGCTCCAGAGGCCTATTTCCTGGTGTAATGTAATCACAGAGTGCCCTTGCTGTGGCTTGTATTGTCATTTCAGTGCATTAGGACAATGGTGGCCCCGGCTGTACTGACAGTGCAGACAGTGCTTAATGCTGTCACTGCTTGTCTTTAACCTTTGTACATGGAAGGACTCGCTCTCCTCTCCTCTGTCTGCTCCACACGACTCTTGTTATTGATCGAATGCTAACAGCTGATTGTTTGACTTTCAGGGAGAAGCAGAGGCAGGAGAACCCGGGGATGGCATTTGGTGAGACGTGGCTCTACTTTGGATGCCGACATAAAGAGAAAGATTTCCTTTTCAGGTACTTTTCGCTGTATTTTTCCTAACATTCATTATAACGCCCCATGAACTTGCAAATTCCCTCTCTAACCTTTTGCAAAGTACATACACGATTTTCACCTTGGCCACGTGTACTCTATACATTAAAATACGTGACCCAACATTATGAACATTGCTCTGTGCGAATGCGATGTGGGTGTATTGTGTGCACTCCAGCTCGTTGCACAGTGCTAAAAGTTGTTCTCAAGAGAAGTCTGTATGAATAAATTCAAAAGCAAAGCAATTCTATTTTAATCAAGGACACGTGTCTCTGTGTCATGAATGTAGAAAATACTTGTGCTAATACAGAAGAATAAAGCCGAGCAGGTTATGTAAAAGGTTATGTGACAGTTTGAATGGTTTACAGAGCTAATTGGGGGATATTTCTGTTAAATTAAGTTAACCAAGCAAGCATTTATTGAATTTTTCACTACAAAAGTTTCATGAGATTGCACATTAGACACAGGCATACCAGACTCATAAGTGGTAGCTGTCAATATTGAATGAATTTGGATCTGGTTGTGAACTGCTTGAATACCTGAATCTGGCTGTGCCCACTTTCTCAGCGGCATTAAGTACATGTGAATGAATTAGCATTGTTAATATGAGCAGAGGAGACGCCAGTATGTTGTGCGCTCCCCTTTGTTTCACTGCACGCCTCTGTTAAATGGAGACTCAAAGGCTGTTGTACAAGTGTGTCTATGCTTCACACCCCCACAGTGTTGACCGAGCCGATTACAGCCTGTTTTATGTGCCTCCTGTGAAGTGCTGTTTAAATAGGTTAGTGCACTGAGAACAACATACCTGCTGCTGAATACTACCAATACATTTGTCTGTGCTGGATTCTCACACAGTGGTGATATTGACTCCTATTGAATTGAACATTATATGCTGCTTTGCATTTGTATTGTATTTGAAATGATGTGCAGGACTGGCTGTACTCTCCCAGTGTTGGTTGAATATAATGGATAATAATAAGTAGCTAGCTAGTACATTTATAGTTTCTGGCATTATATTACAATAACAAGAAAATAAGTTTTGGTAGACATTGGTACAAATACTTTTAGTGATTATATCATTTTATGTTACTGGAATTTTAAATGTCCACCGTGTAGCTTTCTGCCATCTGCTTGTCTCCATGGAGATGTTACTGCTTTGCCTTGATTCAGTATGGAAATAAACTTGGTAATCACAATGGAGGCAAGTTTATGATTAGATCTATGGAGAAGCAAGCCTGCATATGATAAGAATTCATGGTTTTGAGGGTATTTTTTAGCTATAGAACACCTAGTAGGAAGGACAGAAGTAGCTGACCCCCACCTTAGAAGTGTAGTGCACTTTTAATGATGTACTGTGCAACTTTTCTGATGCAGTTATAGCATGTGTTTTAAACAATAAAAACATCTGTAATAGAATAAATGCAAGACAGATGAGTGTAATGTTTCAGATAAAGAAATTAAATCTCCATAGAGACCAATGGACCTGGCCAAAAGTCATGTAGTGCTCCTTTAATTATTAATGATGATAACAGTAATGCAGGAATTATTAGTTTGTGGAGCAGCAAGTACTTTTAAGTTTGCATTATTATTTGTTCAAATTAAGGCTGTAGTTTTTTAATAAATATATTCTGAAGGAAACTATTACTTTTAGATAATATGAAGTTATTGTTCCACCAGCAGGTAGGTGAGTAGCAGTATTGGTCTGTTAAATACAAAATATGTACACATAGAGTTGTAAATATGCCAAAGAAATAGATAAGGCATGTACACGGATGACATTACACAAAACATTCAGAAAAACGTACTTTGACCAGGCAATTCATTTCTGGTGCTATTCCTTGTAAATTGATCCACAAACCAGTTGCAAACAGAGCCCGGCCAGAAGAGTCCCTTTAATGGCCTGTGACCTGAAGAGCACAGCTGTGGCCCCTGAACACTGAAGTCACACAGGGTGAAGACAGGATGTACTCTCTTATCTCATCCACACATTTTCCATCTGCAAAAACAAACACACAGAGCTACAATCAACGGCAGCACTTACCATCCCTGTGAGAGGCTGCTGTCACATCACTCCCTCCTGAACGCTTCTAATGTGCGTATGATTCTCCCTCAGAACAGGCTTTAAGGTGGAGCTACACAGATGCACTGTAAGGTTTAGGGTCTGGAGATATCGTCACCAGCTGTTGTGTATAAACAGTGAATATTAACCCTTTAGCAAACCCAAATGTGTTTCCTCAGCTGGTCTGGTTTTTGACTGTTCCCTGTCACAGAGGAAATCACTCCATAATGATTTTAATCAAGTGTCAAACCAGTGAGCTTCAGTCATTCTTCACAATTGTAATGGGTGTTTAGTATTTCCAAAGTGTTTGTTATTTCATCTTAATGAAGAATTATTGATTCATCTAAATCATTGCTGATGTTATTACAGATATGTTTCTTTTGTAGAGCATTAGTAATGTTTTATATTATGCAAATGATCCAAGCACTTTCATTAGCAGTTGCTCATTTGAAAAAAAGAAGAAACTCTGCTGTAGTCATCATTTGTATTATATTAAATACATGCACTTTATAGTTTCTTGTGCATTTAGTGATAGTTTTACAACACTGTAGCTTACATTTTCATATTGAGACATGATAAAATACTGTGTCCATGCACATATGCACAGCAAGAATACATTTATTACTATTTCTCAGGGACATTGCCGACAGCAATTTTATCACAACTGTTCTCTCTCCCCTTGCTATTCATGTGAGTTTTTTTTTTGCATTATTTTTAGTCTTGGTTTTGCTGCAGAGCCCAGATCCCGGAGGCACAGACCTTCGCACACGATCATGCTTGTAGTGTGTTTTTGGCTTATTCCGACTGCTTAACTTTAAACAAGCAGCTCAGAGCCACAGAGATGCCCCTCTCTCTCACACTCCTCATGTCTTTCCTCTCCAATAGGACCCCAGGCTCTGTAAAAAACACTGAAGCAGGAGTAGTTGGCAGGCGAACCACTGATAGGGAGCAAGGTTATAGACCCAAATGCAAGGCTGGGAGGATTGATTGCAAAAAGATGCTTATAACAGGGCCGACCTTGCTTCGGAAATCCATATTTTTTTCGTCTTTTTTCTCGTTAAACAAGATAAATTGGATGTCTGGCACAGTTTTGCTCAGACCTTTGCCCATTACTGTTCAGTTTTATCAAGATTGACAGCATTGGTGTTCGGAGGAAGCATTTCGTGGGTTGTGTCTTGCAGGGCATTTGACAACAGGGCTAAATACCTTGAAGGAGTATAAGGGTTTATACACAACATGATTACTTATCTAGTCATCTAGTTATCTAGGGATTTACAGTGTTCTATATATACAAACCTTTTAGTGTGGTATTTCAGAAATGTGTTAGATCTAAATAGTACTGTCTCTTTTGATTCAAAGAGAAACATCCTCAAAAAACCTGTAAGAAAGCAGATTTTAAATTAAACAGATTGAACTTGATTTTGCAGGGAGGAGCTGGAGGATTTTGTGTCCAATGGTACACTGAACCACCTCAAAGTTTGTTTCTCAAGAGACAACGAGGAAGTAGAGGAGGAGGTCGCCCAGTCATCCGCACGACCCAAATACGTCCAACACAAACTGCTCTTGGACAGCAAGGCCATAACCAGCATCCTGCTGCAAGAATGTGGCTACATCTATGTGTGCGGGTGAGAAAACATAACATATGTACAATTTATTCACTGTAAAACACACATATATCGCTGTCCTCATTATGGTATACTCAATTGCAATATATTATATGGTCTCTGTCTTCTCTTTCAAACAGCCACTGGATTTTTAGATAGTTAATGCTGTGTCTATATTTATCTATCAATTCAATAATTGAACACAAAAATGTGTTTTAGGCTTTAGTGTGCAAATTGTATATGGGTATAACTCAGAATAAATAATTTAGGGTGCACCATGTTTTGCTTTAAATATTCCTAACTATGGTATTTAACGTATCCCCCATTAAATGTCTCATTGCAGAAGAGCAGATCACAAACCCTCAACCAGAAAACTTACACAGAGCACCTTCAAATATTAGTAAAATAAATTGTACCGTGTTTCTCTCTTTTCTTTATTACTATTTTTTACTGTATTGTCTGTCTTAAGCCCTTGTTTTAAAACTATGATTATTAATGTGAACAAACCAACCAACCATCAATTTACCAAATACTGTGCAAAGCTCTTTTATTAAAGCCCAAATTGAACTGAAAAACATCCGCTCAGACACAGTGGGATGGTAAAAACACAAGATATGAAGCTACAACATTAGTGCTAATTATATTCGACATGGTGCCCTTTCATTAATTCAGTTTTCCCACCAGGGATGCAAAGAACATGGCCAAGGACGTGAACGACACACTGATGGAGATGATCAAAACTGAACTCCAGGTGGACCAACTGGAGGCCATGAAGACGCTGGCGCTGCTGAGGGAAGAAAAGCGCTACTTACAAGACATCTGGGGCTGACTCTGCTGCCTGCTCTCAGAAAAATCACTGCGCTCAGCTATAACCTTTAGATCCTTTAGAAAAATAGTGGAAAAACTCTGCTAAAGCCAAGCCCAGAGGTAGTTTACACAGCACAACAGCTCAAAGATGGACCGGAGCTTGACCTGGGAGTAAGGGTCCATTACGTCACCTTGGGTATTGCTGCGCCCAACACAAATGACCTTGGCAGGCCAATAGGGCTGCAGCTGATTGTTCTAGCAGTGTGAGAAAGCTTTTAGCGTGGACAAGCCCTCACTCCTGTCCTTTCTATGGAAAAGACATTCACTTCCGTCGGCGCTGATGGAGAGATCTGGAGTGGAGTGAGAGAGGGGGGAGGATATACTTTCAGGCCGATGGAAAACAACATTTCAATCTGAAGTTCTTTATCGACATACAAAGAGTCCGTAAGTGGTTATTATCGTTCAGGTGAAACACTTCAAGGCCTTTTTTTTTAAGCAGATGACTGCTCACTGCCAGTTGATGCACTTTTTACCTTATTAAAAATGAAGTATTTTAATAATTAATTCATATCACAGAAGCAACTATGGACCTATGGTTGGGGGTTAGTCTAGACAATGACAAGCTGCTGTTTTTAGATGACAAGATTTTACGGCTAATCTATAATCGTGAGTATTTAAGTCACAATATAATGTTAAGGACTGAAAAATTATATTTTTGAGATTTTTAACAACAAAATTAAGTCATTTCAATTCAATCTATACTCCAGAAAAGTAAGTGAGTTTATTTTCACATGAACATAAGGGAGGAGTAGAGAGTCTATAATTATGAATAAATCGTGATGATTTTCCTAATTATAATAACTTGAATTTGTGACCCTTATTGCTGATATTTAAAAACAGGCCAAGTTACAGTGGTTATAGACAATTTATAGTCCCCTATTTACACATATATATATACATGTGTTGAAAACACATAGCAACACTAGGAGCGATCCAAGAGACAGTCTTTGTGTTGGTGAATCAAATGCTCATCCTTTATACTGAGAGCAAAGGGCACTAACCTCTCTGCTCCCAACCGCCCACATTTCTTAATTTAGCATATTTTATCATTTAAATGCACAGTTTATGGCCTGAATTTCATCATCATCACAAAATATTGCACATTTGTTCCGTTACTTTGAGCCTTCCTTCAACCTTGGGTTTGCAGGTCCTAGAAAAGTTTGCTTTTAAAGAACTGGCAGTCTCAAGTAAATTTTTCATAGAGTGGTGAGAACAAACACTGCTGAGCCATGTGTGTCCAGAAATGAAAAGAAATAAAATAAAATATCTCAACTTCTTTGATTTTGCTCTTGTCCTTAATTTTTAAGGTGGACTGTGTAACTGTTTTGGTGCAGAGTCTGCAACCAGTTTGTCTCCTTCAAAATTCCACTGAGCATAAACAAGCAGATGACACCAGGTCAAGTTAAAGATCAGATCTGTGGAGAGGCAAGCCTGGTCATATAGAAAATCCATGTTTATTAAGGTTTGTTGAGCAATAGGATAGTTAAAATTGACCCTAACCCAATATCTCTGTGGAGACAACCAAGTAACAGACCTCTCATTAGAAATGTCAGTGTGTTAAATTATACATATATCCAGATTAACCCTATCTATCATAAAAAAAATTACTTCAGAAGAAATATAGTTTGCCATTTATCAGCAAAAAATACATCAAAAACTGTGTATTTGTAGATAACCCAATTATTCAAGGTGACTTTGGTCAGAAGAATGACTGTCTCTGCTAATTGGAAGCGTTTCACAATGGGCCCCAGTGCGACTCCTTAAAATTAAATCCTAACAGCAGCCTTTTATTTATCTAGTTGTATGGACAGTGTGAGGGAAAAACATGTTTACAGTTGGTGCTTGCTGCTCCGGTGATGACACTCTCTTCGAAACTCTTTTCAAAGCAGAGTAAACAAAATGTACAATGTCGGCGAAAACATCCCCTGGTTGTGAATAATTAGCTTAATGCTGTGGCCATGCAAGGTAGAAACAATCGCCCTTGTATTTGTCCATAGAAAGCTCTCAATAGTCCTCTGTCTTCGTTCTCTGTCCCTGCCTGGCAAAGACGCCACGAAGGACAAAATCAAAATAATGAGTCTAACAACGCCACCAATCTCCTCATCATCAGCACACAGCAGCTCACTGATGTATTGCACCGTTCTAAGACAAGGCTTTCAATTTCTTGTTGCCGTACAAATGACTATGACGAGCTTTCATGCTAGCTGTAACGAATAGGGAAGTTCCATCAAAAGTGACTGGACTATAATAATCATTAGCGGACATGATGATACAGCGGACAGTGAAGAGGTGACCCCCATTTGCGTATATACTGTCCTACCTGTACGAAGGGCGCCATGATGGAGACTCAAATTAGGGCTTTGTAATTAAAATGGCGCACATCATTTTTGGCCAAGCAGAGAGACAGTGCTCACAGTTAAGGGGAAGGTGGGGGTATAAATCAAAAGGCCTGGAGGTCAGCCCGACCCGGGGAGCCGAAACAGCACCTTTGTGATAGATACCCCTAGTTAAGACTGGCTCAAATGAAGCATAAAGATGTGTGCGGTAGATAATGACTGTTATTATGGAAGTGTAGAGCCAGCCAAGTTTTTGAGGAGGTTGCACTTTCGCTCCAAGAGTTTGGAAAGACCTGTTTAACATTTGAACTTTAGCACAAGAAGTGATTAGAAGAATTATGTCCCCATCTTCCTCGCTCCCTCCTCTTTTCCTATAGCTGCAATTAGCTGAGTGACAATATATCTAAGACATTCTTTTTGGCAAAGTGGAGACAAATTGCAAACCATGCCAAGAATGAACAGCCAGAGTAAAGTAAAAGATTTTTGTCTTCTTATATGTGGCACTTCTTGGACACTTTTATGTGTTTGGTACAAAAGCCGATGCTAATGAGGATCTTTAATTGTATTCCTGCTTTTGCCATTATCATCCAAAACAAGCTTTCATCTGGCTAGTACTTCGCATGCCTTATATAAAAGTTTAATTTGAAAGCTTTGCAATGAGCTAGAGATCAACCGATGTTTATTTATTTATTTTTTTTAATGGCCGCTCCCGATATTGTTTGTTTAAAATACACAGCAACCAATGGCCGATAAACTCTGCCGATATTTTTGAGCCATGTAATTTAAATTGACTACAAACTCAACCACAGCCCCTTTTTACTGTAAACCTTGAAGAGAGCTGTGTAATCACATTTTGTGCAGCCATCTGTGAAGTGTTAATAAAAAGATTTCTGTGTACTTTTTAGACGGCAGATTGACCAAAACAAAATATCGACCTATACTGGAGATTTAAGGTCAATACTATAACTAAAAAGTCCAATCGAATGTTGTCCAGATAACACCTTATATTCTGTAACATTTTTCCTTTTCTTCCTGTTCTTTGTACATTTATTTTGTAGGAAAAAGATGCCCTCAAAACACAAGAACACTGAGTCATGGCTTTGATGTGGCAAGTACAGACACACGCATTCACTATGAGATCCTCCTCTTCAAGTCCCCAGCTGGGTACAATACTTTAACTCCAGCTCCTGTCACAAGTCTGGGAGGATAATGTATGTTTTTTAAAGCTTGTAGCCTGTTCTTTTGGGTTTTCTGCTTTCTGTACTGGTTTATTGATGTATTGTGCAAGATATCCACACTTTACATTCTGCAGAATAAACATTTACTGTAATTGATGTCTGGAGAGAAGATTTAATGCAGATTCTCGTAGTCTTTCAAACTGAAATTCTGCATTTTGTGTTGGCAAATATGACATGTAAAGTGTATGTACGTTTGAGCAGTCAGGTAAATTAAGTAGAAAGTGCTTGCCTCATCAAATGTATTAATGATAGTTCAGCGATGGATGCTCTGCTGGTAGCCATTAGTCAGAGAAAATGTAAAAAACACAACCAGCGCTTTTTAAACTTACAACGATGGATGAACACTTAACAAAATGAATGGTTTTCTCTGATCTGACAACTGTAATGACTTATGTAAATCAAGGGTTAAGTGGTAAGATGAGTGCGCAAAGCAAAAGGGGGCACAGGAGTAGAGGGGCTAGAAAACAAAGAGATAAGTGATAGTACATGTTCGATTTGTCTTCATTTGAGGCTGTTGTTGGGGCTGTAGAATGCTGAACATGGGCTGCCATTGAGTCTGCTCATCCTTCTTGCTTTGAACACCTCATCTGCACACAAGGGGAGAGCTTGAAAGAAAATATAGCCTGTAGACTGCGTAACAAAGAATTTATAAGTGCTAGCAGCGAGACTCAACGACTCCAGTCCTTCAAGCTTGATATTTTTGACTTTGAAATCTTATGTTTCTCCCACTCAGTAATGAGGCAAGAGCATTTTGTTGTGGGTGGGCATTTATCACACGGTGGGGACTAAAATCTGCGTACACAGTGTCCTTTCAGTTCACCCACCTTGCCCCCTCTGTCTGCGTACACCGGTGTATGAATGAATGTGTGTCTGTGTGTGTGTGTGAGTGTGGGCGAATGGTTCCTTGATGTAAAGTGCTTTGAGTGCCTTTAAGGTTGAAAAGAACTATACAAATGTGACCATTTACCATTTACCAAAAATCTAAACTCAATGAGGCAGTTTTTTCACTGGTTTAACATAGTTTAAAGAAGGATTTTTATAGGCAAATTTAGGTTAAGGTCAAGCAAGTTATTAAGAAATACTGAAATGATAAAATGCATTATAGGCCCTCTGCAGCAGAAAGTACTGAAATAAGTTTTTATTTGTATCAAATTTACCCTGTTACTCTTGTAGTTCATAGTTTAAAAATGGACAAAAAGTAGTTTACTTTTGTATGAAAATTTTATATCACAACCAAGATATTACTAATTATAACATTTAAATTAACTAATGTGTTTTGTAATGGATACAGCATTCAATAGATCATAGACTATATATAAATGAACATAGGTAACCTGCTACCTGTTGTATTCCAAATAGCAAGTGAGCATGAGCGCATCTTCAGCTCCATCATCTCCAATACATGCATCCCGAATGGAAACAGTTTGAACGCAGGTTTGCAGTCACACAGATCTGATTTCGTTTTGCAATTAGAGAGTTCGCAAACTTTCGAGGCCAGTTTTCCGCTGTTAGGACATTCAACGACCACACAATTACGATGTCTGAATCACATAACTAAAATATAACAATATCAGAACCAGAAACAAAAGCGATATGGTTCAAAAGACTTGAAAAAATTGGCTCTGACAATAGACACATCCCACTGCGATATCAAACATGGCTGTTTGATGCTCACTTTTTCGGAGGATCCTTCCCAGTATGCATTGCGTGATGACTGGAAATCTGAAATTCGGGATGCATGTATTCACTTTGCATTGAAAAAACATGCCCCTTGTCTCTATAACTGCTGCTGTCAGGCTTCTCATTTAGGTCTTAAAATGTTCGTATTAACTCACTCTACACGATCTTGGGTTTTTTATTTTGCTTTTTTGTCCGTAAATTAATCCTGTTCCTAATATGCCCCAAACTTGCCCATATAACTGCAAGCCTCTGTGAGCTTCTTTTGACTGAAGCCTAACACTATGGGTGACGTCACACTCCTTTTGTCCACTTTTTTATACAGTCTATGATCAGAACCTGAACATCCTATTTCAAACATACAATATGTAGCCTGTGCTCTTGCTGGTTTCAAAAGGTACTACAATCAAAACTGAAAAACTGGGTTGTCAGAGCCTGCATATAGAGGGCAAATACGTATTTTTTCTCTTTTGCAGAAAATGGACAGGCCATGGCTCATGTGAAATCATGTGAGAATTGCCTCAGTGGAAGCTACACTAGCACTGATTACTGATGAGCTGTACGTGCTAGGGTTTGGTTATAGATTTTACATTGTGTGATTGAGTGGTTAGGCTAAATCTGCAGCGTTATCATCTTGTTTTGTTTCTGATACACAAAGGTTATCACAGAAATATTATAATTTTCACCCAAAGTCATATTTTGTCCTCTGCAGTGGCTACAGCTACAGCTCTGATCTCTGTAAGCCTCTGTCTGCTGATCAGTACAGATTAATGTCCAGTTGTAGAGTCCCACCGTGAAGGGGTCAGACACTGGCGGGCAGGGGTAGGGTGACTTTGTAAATGGGGCGAGATTGACTGTTATGGCCTAAGGGTTGTACATTAAAAGAAATATATAAACTTTATGCAGGAGATGAATAGTGGTTAGGACAAAATGGCAACTGACAACAGGTGTGCAGGACATAAGAGGTTCCTGACTCCAAATTTATCATTGTGGTTTGTTCGCTACAGGAAGCCAAGCCAAGGTGAGCG